GGGGAGAAGGCAGGCCTCCCGAAGCCTAGCTCAGGGTGCCCTCCACTTCCTTCCTCTTTTAAAAACTCTCAAAGGTAACGTGAAATACACCACAAGATAAACCACACACGCTGATGCAAGTCAGCGATTTGGTCTGGCAAAGGCGTTCTTTTGGCCATCGGGCAGGCATGTAACTAACCCACCTCGGGGCGGGAATTCTTCACACGAGATTGTTCAGCGTTCTGATGGAAGCCGTGTGCAGGTTACACACGACTTCTCGGATTCGGGAAGGCTCTTCTTGGCTCTTAGCCGGTGGTGGGCAGGAGGTCGGCTGCACAGCGGAATCTCGGATTCGAAGCGGAGCTGTCGGGTGTGTTCTGGCTTCGAGCAGCACAGCGACACCTATAGGCAGTAGGATTTATGGCGCACGTAGGATCCACCTTTCTTCAACCGGTCTTTCCCAGAAGGGGAAAGCCTTTTAGGTTAATCGTTTCTTCAACAGAATGGTGAACGGTCCACCAGTCTGAAGTCCACTCTCAGGCGTCCCTACTATATTGCATAAGCCATAACCATTGGGAGGAAAGGCGTCAACAGGCGCGATTCCTCGGAAAGCCGTCCGCTCTGGTGTTGGTCACAGGAAACTCACCCTGCCAAAAGTTGGTATAATGTTGGCTTTTCGGCTGCAGTTTGTTGCCTCAGGGGAAAAGTCTGTTTTGCAGGCCTCGTCGACAGCTGTATTCTCACTCAGCTTCCATGGGCAACCGCTTCCCCATCCACGTGCAGTAGGAGACGTGACGATCTGGCCCGTGTAGAACAGTAGAGTCGGGCCCTTCTGGGTGTCTCCAGTTAGTGCCTTTAACAGGTAACCACTAGGGAGCAGCTGCAACTACCTGTTGGATATTAGACTTCATTTGCTCACTCAACATTTCTTCAAAGACAAAGGAGTCACCGAACTTCTCAGCCTCTGTCAGATAGCCATCTGAGTTCACAAATTCTCAAATTCAGCATTACTGACTTCATAGGCATCCATGTAAAAGACATCAATAGCAACTCTCCTCGCAAGTGCTTCCCCATCCTACTTTATCTGAGGATCATTGGTGCCCACTGTAAATACTCCGGCAGGGATGGGGATCACCTTGGTGCGTAGGAACGGCGGCTCTCCGGGGAACGAGCCCCGGGCATTCGCCTCCCGGTACGCGGCCGCCGAGCTGCCGTGGGCCCCGGGCCGCTGGGGAGTGCCAGAACCCCAGGAGCCTGCGAGGGAAGCCGCGCCCGCAGCCTCTCCCCGGCCTCTTCGTCCCCCTCCCCCACGCGCGGCCCGGCCCAAGAGCAGCGGCAGAAGGACGAGCTAGATACAGTTTTAAATATTGTTTTTCTTTCACGTTATTTTACAAACATGGTTTCACGTTTCTCCATGTTCTGGTAGCTGCAAGCTGTTTTGTAATCTTAGTATGTAGTATAGTATTTAATAATTTAAGCACTCATTAGTGGATTGTTGCAGCCCTTTTAAGTCCCAATGACATATTTTAGTACACATAGATATTTTTTTCTTTTGTTCTATTTCACTGGGTTTTAAATTCCTAGGTGAGAGACTGGGTCAAAGCAAACTAGCTGGCTCTTGCTAAGTGTGACCTAAGTGTGCCTCTCGAAGGATTATGGCAGTTTACCTGGCCACTAGCCAGGTGTGAATGTATCTGTTGTTACCCAAAGCTTGGACCAGCACTGGGTATTTAATTTTTGCTCTGTTTAATGGCTGTTAATTGGAACCACACTATGCTTACAGTCTTTAATTTGCAGTTCCCTAATTACTAAGGAATTGAGTCTTTTTTTAAATACACATGTTTATTGTTTGTTTTTCCTCTTAGGTGCCTACTCAATTCAAAGCAACAGACATATTTTGAGTGCCCACTCTGTGCCAAGAGCTGTGTGCATCCCTCAGAGGGGGAGTAACCTAACAAAACCGACCCTTTGAGATAGGGTGTGGGAGCCAGGATAGTATAGGAAATATATGGTTAACTGTACTCCCTTGGTAGAAGCACAATCCTGGAAGGCTGTTTGGGCAAAGGCCTGTGGGTGGAAGACAAAGAAGAGAAAGGTTGACCCTGTCTGAAAAAGATTAGGCTTTTGCAGGGTAAGTGACTTCAGAGCTAGGGCGGAACAATAAGATTTGTCCAGGTGAGAAAATGATGTGTGGGGAGAGGGAACAATACGGAGAGAGGTAAAGGAGCTGAAAAGTCTGAAAATATGGTGCTGTGTTATGGGGTTGCAACTCTTCCATTAAAATGTGGAACCCTGGGGCTGAAAGATGGTGGGACATTGGCTATAAAGAAAGAGTCAGGGCTAACCTCAGGAATCTGACTTTGTCCTGAGGATTTTTTTATTCTTAAAGAAGAATGACATGATCTAATGTATGTTTTAGAAAGACCTTTCTGGTAGCTAATGAGAGGTAGACATATTCCGTGCATTTACGGAGCTCAAAGACTAGTAGGGGAAGCAAGTATTAATCAAGAAATCATAATTATAAATTCTCAATGAACGAAAGAAATGCCATGCTATGAGAGCAATTTATATATAACAGGGGTAGCAGACCAAGTCCAAATGTCAGGGAAGGTTTCCCCTAGGAAATAATTTCTGGAGGTTTTTCTTCTTCCCTTCTTACACACACCCCTCCCTCAAGCCTCACCATTAAACTTCACAGGGAAAGGCAATGTAAAATATCTTTATTTGAGAGAAACCCAGGACTGTGTATACATACTCATATGCATTTGTAAACCTTCCCAAATGATTCACCCTGATATTTCCATGTGTCTAGTCCATAATGTCCTTTCATTGATATTATCTGACTTGTATACTGACCCCAACCTTCTGAGGTAGGCAGGCAAGTATGATTATCTACATTTTATTGAAGAATCTGAGTCTCAGAGAAGTTAGGTAATTTGCCTAAAATTGCATGACTAATGGTATTTGAATCCAGGTCTTGTAACACCTAGGTGGAATTATTTTTTTTTAAGCTGTTTTGTTTTGTTTTTCTTTTTTCAATTAGTAAAGATACCAACAGGTGGCCACACCTATGTTTTTAATTTTTTAAATTTAATTTAATTTTTTTGGCTGTACTGTGCAGCATGCAGGATCTTAGTTCCCCAGCCAGGGATCAAACCTGTGCCCCTTACATTACGAGCACAGAGTCTTAACCACTGGATTGCCAGGGAAGTCCCTAGCTGGTATTATTCTTGCAATGTTCATTCTTTCATTTGTTCATTGATCCATCAAACATGTGCTGGTCACCTGAGTGTCAGGCTATGTGTGAAGCAATCGAGAGCCAGTAAGTTTTTAAGCAGGAAAGCAGCTTGATCCAATTTACGTTTGAGAACCCTCTTTTGGCTGAGAGGGAAAGTGGTGGTTTTCAAAGTATGGTCCGAGACCACATACTGGGTCAGAGGCTCTGGGGTTGGGGCTCAGGAATGCTATGATCAGCCAGGTTTGGGTATTCTTTTTTGATTCAAATGCAATAGAAAGCGCTATATTAGAGAAGGCGGTTGTGCAACCAGTTATGTGACTAAGGTAGTGGCTGTAGTAACCAGGTGAGAAGTGATGAGGAACAGACAAAGGGATGCACTGGAGAGTCATTTAGATAGCATGGGCAGGACTTCTCACTCCACCCTCAGCTCAGACAGTAGCTGAGAAGTGGAGCTGGAATTCCTACCTGGGTCCTCTGGCTACAGAGCCTGTGGGCTTTACTGCACATAGCCATTTATAGCGGCTTTGTGGTTTTAAATATTTTATATTCAATTATCTTAGCATTTGTTTTGCAAATCTCCATCTTATCTCAAACTGCCTTCAAGCCTTGTATTTCTCCCTCACTCTCATAAAGACTAGGAGAGAAATAATTAAGGCCTTAAAAGTTTTAAAATATTTATTTGCTTGGGGCTGGGTATATAGGAAAGGAAAAAGTAGATTTGATTAGATAAGCACAGACTAGGGGTGAACGCAGGACACTGGGAAAGGCACTGCATCTCCTCTTCTATAAATCGCAGGAGTTCTCCAGGAAACCTGAAGACAATAATCCCAGAAGCCCAGAGGGTGACCCCATTCCCTCCCCAGGGTTATTACTGGGTGTCAGGCTGGAGCAGTTCAGGAATTCAGGAAACTGTAAAGAAACCACAACAGCCTCAACAAACATCAACTACCTCCACAATAAAACTCATTATAATTCATCTCCCTCCCACCCACAACTACAGACCTGAGGGAGGCAGACGGGAGGGGTTCTTTGCTGCTCCTTCCCCAGCCTGACCCAGTCTCATCCCAGGCCTCGTTTTCCCAGCGTCTCGGGGAGGTGGGAAACTGACACCCCTATGTCTGGCACCAGAGACGGAGGACACCTCCATTCTCTGCTCACTGCCAGGTAGGTCAGGATTAAAGCAAACTGAGGCCAAAGTTATAGTCGGCAGTGCCAGGGGAAGGCTGGCCTGTCTCGGTAACTAGCAAGGCCACAGTGGCTAAGCCAAGCAGGTGGGAGTGGAAGTGTTGGGGGGAGAAAAAGATGGGAAGGTGGGCGTGGCGAAGGCCAACTGTAGTGCGAGGCTTCTGGGGGAACCTCCTCCATTGAATGACCAATCAGAGAGCTGGCTGCGGCCCAGGGGTGGGACAGGGGCGTATCTTGGTCGGGATTGGATAATGGCCGGGCGCAGGGAGGGGGCCGCGAGCTTCTGAGGCCTGCCGCTTGGCAATTCCGCGTTGTATACCGCAGTGGCGGCGGTGGTGGAAGCCGGCTGGACTGCAGCGCACGTGCCTGGATCTGACG